CCCAGCTACTCAGGAGGCTGAGGAACAAGAATTGCTTGACCCTGAGGGGAGCGGAGGTTGTAGTGAGCTGAGATCCTGCCATTGCACTCCTGCACTCCCGCCTCAGCAAAAGAGTGAAACTCTGTCTCAAAAAAAAAAGAAAGAAAAATAGAAAAAAGTTATAAAATGTATACTTAGCCCTATTAAAAAAAACAAACAAAACAAACAAACAAACAAACAAAAACCCTACAGTCATAAAAGAATGCCTCAGTTCAGCTTCGTGGCAGACCTTCTCCCAAATTCCCACAGGAGAGAGAAAGAAGGTGAAACAGGTCCATGTCACCCAGGAACTTGAGAGAGGGACACTGCGCACCCCCGCCTGCCCTGAAAACAGGGTGGGGTGTGGCCCTCTCTCGCCTCAGCCCTGGTGTGGCGGTGGGGGCTGGTGACCAAGCCATCTGCGGGACAAAACATGAGCTACATGACCCTGCCCCTTTCCCAGGCCCCAGACAAGCTTCTTACTCCTTGGAAGGATTCCTGCCTCAGCTCCTGCCTGCCTCTCCATTCCTAGCTGTCCTTGAATCCTGACCCCAGATCAGTTTTCTCAGATTTTCCCTAACTGGGGATTTTTGTGTGTGTGCCCTACTCATGCCCCATCCACCCTATCCCAGCCTCTCAAGAGGGGCGGGGGGTGGGTGGAGCAGTATGGCTTCCTGCCCTGCGCTCCGGCCTGGCCCTAATCCCTGCTACTCCTGGTGCCCCATCATCGTAAGTCTGAGCTGAGGACCAGCCTCCCTGAGGCAGGACACTCGTCCGAGTCATGACATCTGTGATGTCTCCCCTGGGTTCCCTGAACCCCACCCACTCCCCACTGTGGGCAGCACTAAGTGGTTCCCCTAGAATCTCCCTCCCCATACCGTGGAGTGATCCAGTGCAGGACCCCCAGCTGCAGGCCTCAGTGCCCTGCACCCCCCATCTTCACCACCGAATCACCTCACCAAAGGCCCTGCCTCCTAATAGCATCGTCTGGGCCTTCTGCTGAAGTTCAGGAGGCACTGTGGTCCTTGGGCTGGGCTGTGTCTCTGGGCCACACTGAGATGTACCTGGCATTTTTAATCTGGAAGGGCAAAAGGAAATCAGGAAGAACAGATAGCCAACCCAGGTCACCCTGCAGCCATAGCCCAGCCAGATTCAGGCAGAGCTGGGCTGGTGGAAACTGGTAGAGAGGACCCAGATGACAGCATGAGAGTTGGCAAAAGTCCAGCCTGGATCCCATAGGAGTTGGAGGAGGCCCTCACCCTACTGTGAGCAGCATAACCCTCCCCAGACCCTAGCAGAAATGTCACAGGGAAAACCAGCCGAACAGGGCCTGTGGCCAGAGGATGGCAGGTGCATTCCTCAGCTACCAGGACAGCCATGGGACCCAGTTTGGGCAGTTTGTGTTGGGGTAGCGCCTGGGGAAGGGGAGCAGATCTCTGGTTTGTTTGGGAGAAGCCAGATCAATGAGCAAATCTCCCACTGATCAAGTGCTTGGAAAAAGTTGTGTAGGTGAAGCAGCCAGGTCTTTGGCTCACTTGCTGGCCAGCGGGGTTGAGGCACGCCTAGAAAGTGGGGCTGGGGCCAGCTGTGGAGAGCAGCCTGGGCAGTGGACACCAGGACCATTGGGAGGAGACTCAGTCCCTGCTCCCCCTGTAAGCACAGGTATGGGGACCAGCAGAGAGAGGCACCTAGGCACGGCCCCACACCTTCACTCCTCCAAAAGGGCAGAGCCTGGGCCCCCTGATCCAGACCAAGCCTCCTTTCCTGGCTTCCTCTGGCTGCCTTCCTAACCACTCCCTTGGGCCTCAGACTCTAGTTCCAGCACGATCGAAGAGTCAGGACTGTACTTGGTTGCAAATGACAGAAGTCACTTCAGAGTACCTCAAGCAAAGATGAGAATTTATTGAGCTCTAATACTGAGAAGTCCAGGGATAAATCCTGGCTTCAGACCTGGCTGAATCCAGGGGTTCTGATGTGTGTCGTCTCCATCCTAGAACCACCTGCCTTGCTCCTATTGCTCCACTCTTCAATGGCTTCCTCTCTCCACCCCACTGCAAAGGTGATCAGAAAGTCCCCAACATCATCAGGACATCCTCCTACCAGCCGCACCACTCAGGAGAGGATAAGCTCATCTTTTTTATTTAAAAAAATTATTATTATGATTATTTTTATTTTTATTTATTTTTTTTTTTTTGAGACGGAGTTTCGCTCTTGTTACCCAGGCTGGAGTGCAATGGTGCGATCTCGGCTCACCACAACCTCCGTCTCCTGGGTTCAGGCAATTCTCCTGCCTCAGCCTCCTGAGTAGCTGGGATTACAGGCACGCGCCACCATGCCCAGCTAATTTTTTGTATTTTTAGTAGAGACGGGGTTTCACCATGTTGACCAGGATGGTCTCGATCTCTCGACCTCGTGATCCACCCGCCTCGGCCTCCCAAAGTGCTGGGATTACAGGCTTGAGCCACCGTGCCCGGCCAAAAAAAATTATTATTTTATAGAGACAAGGTCTTAATATGTTGTCCGGGCTGATCTCCAACTCCTAGACTCAAGCAGTGCTCCCACCTCAGGTTCCTGAGTAGCTGGGACTACAGGCACATGCCATCACTCCTGGGTTTTTTGGTTGTCTTTGTTTTTGTTTTGAGACAGTCTTGCTCTGTCGCCCAGGCTGAAGTGCAGTAGTGCAATTTCGGCTCACTTCAGCCTCCACCTTTCAGGGTCAAACAATTCTCATACCTTGGCCTCTCGAGTAGCTGGGACCACAGGTGCACACTACCACGCCCGGCTAATTGTTGTGTTTTTAGTAGAGACGGGGATTTGCTGTGTTGCCCAGGCTGGTCTTGAACTCCTGGGCTCAGGTGATCCCAAAAGATCCCAAACTTTCACCTCCCAAAGTTCTGGGATTACAGGCGTGGGTCATTGCTCCTGGTGTGCCTGGCTTTTTATTTTTATTTTTTACTTTTTGTAGTGATGGCTGGTTTCCAACTCCTGGCCTCAAGAAATTCTCCTGCCTTGGCCTCCCAAAGCGCGGGGATGACAGACCCCAGCCACTGTGCCAGGCCAAGCTCATCTTTTCTGCTGGTTTCCCTCAAGTCCTGGATCGAGCTGTCAGTGTCCCAGCCTGGGCCACATGCTGACCTCTGAACTAGTGCCAAGGCTATGTGGCCAGACCCAGGCCATCAACCTCCCACATGACTCTCAATGGGCTGGTACTCAAAGCAGGAGTGATGCTAAGCCGGCAGCTGCTGCAAAGGCATCCACAGGTAGTGTGCACTCATGCCATGAGGAGCTGTGACTCCTCCAGGAGGATGAAAGACAGATTTGGACCCTTCTAGGACCCCAGGAATTCTGGGGTCTTGGTGCTAGCAGAGGGCCTGATGACATCACCCTGTCCCCACCTCAGTTACAGTGGAGGCCAGTCTGGGCCAAACAACCTGATCTCCAGACTGAAGTTCTAGCCCTCACCCAGGGGACCTGTGCACCACCTGCTGCTCCCTCCTTCCTGGCTTCGCTAGGCTCTGGACCACCTGCACCAGCGTAGGGCAGCCCTGCCCAGTCCCCGGCAGAGCCCAGCCTCCTCCCTGTATCCTACCTGGAATTTTTAGCTTTCCGTGTAACCAGAGCTTAGTGTCTGCTTCCCCTTCACTTGCAGGTGCCAGGAAGGCAGGGCCAGATCTGTCCTCATTCATCAATAAGTCTCTAGCACCCGCACCCCGGCAGGCGTGATGTGGGTGCTTAGGAATGAGGGAAGGAAGGAAGGAAAGAGACCCTGCGTAGTGGAGGGTTGGGGGCAAATGGGCGGCGGCTCCTGAACTCTGAGATTTCCAAACACCACGACTCATCCAAGGCCCCTCCTTCACTGTAGTGGAGCCTCAGTTTTCTCAACCCTCCAACGGCACAACCTCCTTCCCCCAGGACTTGCAGAGCCGTGGTGAAACTGGAGAGATTATGTCAGGAAAAAAAATGGTCTAGATGAGATATAAAAATCTCTTTTTTTGTGTGACAAGACTGAGGAGGATCTGTTTAGAATTTCAGGATTTTTTAAGTTAAAAAAACAACAACAACAGATGGCTTCAAAGTGCGCAAACGTTGGGCCAGTTCTCGTGACCTTCCCCGGGAGACTAGGGGCCCAGAGTGCAGGGGAAGGGGAGGGACGGCCGGGGAACCAGGGCGGGGAAACGCCGGCCTGGGTGACTCACTGGGGGGTCGGATGCCGGCCCAAGGCGGAGGAGCCCCCGGGGTCCCTCGAGGGGCCTGCAGCGCAGGACAGATATGCCGGGGCAGCTCGGCACGGGCGGGATTCCGGGCTCCCCGGGGCCCCTCCAGCTTTGTTCACAACCTGCGGGACCCTGGCCTCCAAGTTCGGGCTCTGCAGTGAATCTCAGGTTTGAATACAGCCGCCGCCGCGGCGGTCCGGTTTTGGCGAAGTGCTTTTCTGTCTCCAGGAACCTCAGTTTTCTCACCTCTCCGCCAAGCCCAGGAGTTCTCTCCATGCAGGGTGAGAACCAGGCTTACAGGTTTCTGGAGCTCTGAAAAAAGCCTGTCACGCAGATGGGAGCGCGGCTGGAACAGCGGCTCACGCGGGTTTCCCGAGCGCGCCAGTGACGCGGGACCCCGCGCTCTGCGCCTTACGCAGACGGGCCGAATGCTCCCCACGCCCCGGGAAGGAGCTTCCCTGGGTAGCCCCGTTTCACAGACGGGAAAGCGGAGGCACAGAGCGACGGGGCCCTGCCCGGCTTCCACGCCAACTCCGTGGCTGGGTCGAGGTCTGGCCTCGGCCGTTGGTGGCCCCAAGCCCACCTCCGGGATCCGGCGCCGGGCGCCCTGGCCTTCCAGGCCCGACTGGCGCCCGGGAGCCGCCCCTCGGCCCCCTCCAAGGCTCCCGGGGGTCGGGTCCCGCCGTTGTCACGACAACCGGGGGCCAATGGGAGCAGGCGGGAGGAACAGGCCCCGCCCCGTCCCCGCCCCTCTCGGAGGGGCTCCGCGCTATAAGCGCGGGAGGCGAAGCGGCGGGAGCCGGAGCCCACGGAGCCCACGGAGCGGCCACGGCGTTGGAGCCAGCAAATCCTCCGAGCCACGAAGGGGCCCGAGCAGCAGCCACGATGTGCGGTGAGTGCCGCGCCCGTCCGAGCCGTCTCCTCCGCGCCGCCCGCGGGTCCCTGCGCCGCAGCCTCTCAGGCCTCCGCCCCCGAGCTGGCGCCGAGGATCTGGCTGGGGAAGCGGATCCGCCCCGGGCCCCGACCGAGGTGCTGTCGTCGGCCGGGCCTGCCTGCCCCTCACCCCCGCTCCTCGAGTGGCTGCCTCGGAGGCGTGGGAGAGGGCTGCCCAGCCCGACTCTCGGTCTCGGACATAGAGAAGGGGACCCAGGCCTGGTCCTCACGGAGGGAGGAACTTGGTCCGGTCCGGCCTGGACCCCGTAACGGAGGGATCCCTACCTTGTGCCCACCGAAGCCGCTGTCCTCCACTTCTCCCAGTCGCTCTCCAAGACAGCCACGCGCAGGCCGGCGCATCCGGGTGGGGGGCGCCCATCCCGGCTAAGCCCGCCGCGCCCACCGAGCAGAGGAGAGGCGACCCCGCCCTGCGGTCCCCGCAGCCCACCGGGTCGCCCTCGCGGCGTCAGTGTTCTGGGGCAGCGCCTGCGCGTCCTCCTCGCGACTCCGTGTGAACCTCTCCTCCCCAGAAGGGTTGGTGCCGTGTTGCCGCCTCTTTGCGCGGGGAAGAGGCAGCCACTGCCGGAGCCTCGGCCCGAAGCGACGAGAGGGAGTTCCGGGCTAGGAGCTGGGCCGGGCGTCGGATTCCCGCGGCGGCCCCGGGCTGTCCCGCTTGGCTGCGGGGCCGTGGGGAGGGTGGCCGCAGCCCTGAGTGCACATCTGCAATTCTTTACTCTCCTGGCTGGGCCGCCTCCGTTGGCCGGGAGAGAGCCGGGAACTTCTGCTGGGACAAAAGGTCACTGTGCTCTTTTTTTTTTTTTTCCCCCCCCTTGAGTAGGATTCAGTTACCCATTCCAGCCTCCTGTGGCTGGAGGACCTGGAGGAACTTTTGAAGCCATGAAAGGCTTCTCTCTGACTTTGCTGAGGGCCAGGGTGGGGTGCACCCGCGGTGAGCCCTGGCCGGGGTCTCTGCAGGCCTTGTTCCCGAGGCCAGCAGCTCAGCAGAAGGCAACGACCTGGGTGGAGCGGACTGCCTGCTTGGGGAGGCAGCCTCTCCCACGCCCAACAGGCATCCACGGAAATTCCTGAACCCTCAGCTAAAATCTCGTACTCCCAGACGTCATTCGCCAAGTACAGGGCCACCTTTGGGGTGTTTCTGGGGACAGAGATGAGGCAAAGGTGGCAGTTTTGCCAGATCTCAAAGCCCTGCAGGTTCCAAACCTCTCAGTGTGGCTGGCATTCAAGACTCTTAGCCAAAACTGGTGGCCTTGGAGCCAGACTTCTGCAGGAGACCCTTGAACAGGAGGGTCTGCCCCCCAACACCAGAGGCTCCCCTTCCCCCACCTTTCGGATGCCCCTCTTCCCCGACTGCCACCCCTGCCTGCCATCCTCCTTCCTACTGACATCTGGCTTTTTCCCAAGTCTCTCTGAGCTTTGGGGGGCTCTACCTCCTCTAGCTCACAAAATCACAAGTGTTTTTGTTCTGCTTCTTAAAGGGCCACACACATGTTGTCTCCTAGGGAAAGGTTGAGCTTCGGGTGTGACCACCTATATCCTCACATCTTCTGGTACTGACTTGTGGTTGTATGTGAGAAGGAGCTTGAGTCCCCAAAGGACACCCGGGGCCCAGGAGTGGCTGCTGTCCATGGGGGTGCCCACTTGGAGCCAGAATCAGAGTGTGTGCTGGGATAGGTTCCTTCGTAGAATTCCCAGATTTGCTGATTTGGGGCTGGGGGCAGGGTAGGGGAGTCGGGAGGGTGCAGCTCAGCAGGAAGTCATGGAATCCCTGCATGGGAAAGTTATTTCCTTTTCAAGAACATCAGGAGAAAGTTTCAACTTGGTGGTATTGTGTCCTTAACACCTCTGTGACACTTGCTAAGTATCCTTTGCACAGGGGAAGCTGTTCATGGCTCAGAGCAGGCAGCAGCATTTGGCTAGAATTGAATATATTGATGTTTTAGGGGGCATGATGGTCTGAGAATGTATGATAAGCGATTCTGATTTTCCTTTTATGGCTGTTTTCTTTCATCATGAATTAATTTACATCTTTGAAATTTTAATCAATTTCTACAGAAAAAAGGAGTAATGATTGTGCTGTTGGTACAAGGATACTGCAAGAATCATGAAGATGCTCCTAGAAAGAACCCAGTAAGCTCTTCACTTTATGCTAGGGAAGCTGAGGCCCTGTGAAGTCTGTGCACACTTGGCGTCTGAGCAGACCTCGTGTCTCAGATCTCCTGGGCTGCTCCCACAGGCGCAGAGACCAAAGGCCCTTCCTTATCACTTGGCCAGTGACCCTGCTGAGATTATGCCTTGCTCTCCCTTATCCTGCTGCTTCTCCCATGGGAAGCCAGGACAGTAGTTGATCCTCTGCAAACAACAGATGATTCTCAGAAACCATGACACTTAGGTTTTATAGACATCTGAAAGTTGCCAGCATTTCCTCCCTCTCTCTCTCCTTTTCTGCCTTTTTCATTCATCCACTAGTGGAAATGTCCTGAGTGTTCCAGGCCCTAGAGGACTTGAAGATCTCATGGGCGTGGTCCTCCCCTCAAAGAAGGGGCAGGTGAACTGCAGGGCCAGTCTAGAGACTGGTCACCAGCAGGGACGGGATGCCCATCAGGGCAGTGCTGCTGCCGAGAAAGGCTTGGGCATGGGCTACAGCCTGGTAGAGGACTGGCTGATCCAGGAAGACAGACATTTTTTTGTTTGGTTCACAGGGTTTAAACCTTTTCCTGTATTAGTTACCAAAGTACAAAATTGGGAGATTTTGTGTAAGTAGGTGGGAGTTTTGGCTTCCCTTGATAAAATCCGAAGATGAGCAACCCTGAGTCCTTATTTCCAAATCGGGCCTGGATGATCCCTTGGGTGATGGACACAAACTCCCCTGTTTTCCCAGCCCCTCCCAGCTGCTTCACTCACTGCTGGGACTCTGCATAACAGAGGCAGGAACTGACTTTCCCAGGAAGAAAAGGAGAGACCTAGGGTAGTGCCGCAAAGACCTGGACACAAGCATGAGCCCTGCAGAGAGAAGGGGGGTGGCAGGCATGCTGGGCTAGGGACAGCATGAGCCAGGGTGTGGTAGCATGGACCATGCATTCATGGGGATTTGGCAGAAAGGGTTTGTGCTTCCCATCACGAAGTCGTAAACCATCCTTGTGCCTCACTCACTGCACTTAGTCATCTGTGAGGGAGGGGGGAAAAAAGCAGTCACAGTGAAGAATTGGAGAATTCTTAGTTCTTGCCAGAAGGTGAAGCCCTTACCTTGACATCACCATCTTTTGTCTTGGTTGGGGTATTTGTCTCCGGCTGCTATAACAAATGACTGCAAACTTGCCGATTTTGGACAACAGAAATGTATTCTCTCACAGTTGAGACCAGAAGTTCAGAATCGGTTTTACTGGGCCCAAATCAAGGTACCTTCAGGGCTGTGCCTCCTCCAGAGGCTCCAGGGGTGAATCTGTCGCCGGCCTCTCCCAGCTCCTGGGGGCTGCCTCGTTCCTTGGCTCAGGGCAGTGTTGCTCCAGTCCCAGTGCTGGCTGCAGCCCTCCACCGTCTCAGGGGTTTCCCAATTTCAGAAAAACCTGATTTTTATATCTTTATGGAATAGCATCAGTAAACAGTACTTTTAAATGGAGAGATAATTTTTGTATCTAGCAAAATTCGCTTATAAAGAGAGATTAATTTGAGGTTATAATTTTGAGAGAAATTCTGAAAATGAATTCCACAATAAAACAATTAAGCTATTTAGGTATTTTATTTTTATTTTAGAGGCAGGGTCTCACTCTGTTACCCAGGCTGGAGTGCAGTGGTGCGATCATGGCTCACTGCATCCTTCAACTCCTGGGCTCAAGGAGTTGAGCCTCCCAAAGTGCTGGGATGCAGGCAGGAGCCACTGTACCTGTCCCCTCTTCTTAAGAATTTTTTTCTTTTAATAAAATGTAGAGTATATGTCGCTTCCCACTTTGTTTTTGGTAAAACTGTGAGAATGACCGGGACACTAGCAACTTTTCTATTAAAAAATAGAAATACCCTGTCCACGTTATCTCAGGAAGCAGAGTCTGTTATCTCATGGATTCCAGTGGTGAGGTAACTTTAACCCCTGCCGTCCCGAAGAGGCCTGGGACAGGATAGGGCTGTCTCCAGGGGAGCCAACTCCCCTTCTTACCCTGAGCTAGGTGCTCGGTCTGCTCAGGACCCCCACCAGGCCTGAGGCAGCTCCTCCTTTCTGCAAGGAGGTGGCAGGAATCACCAACAAGTGACCTTTCCCAACGTATGAGAATGAGGGCTGGGTGGTCAGAGAGGCCACAGCTCCTCAGCAGCCCTTGCCCAAAGCCCAGGGGACTCCCTACAGCTATGGGCCTCACCCAGGAGAGTGGACCTGTCCATCTTCCCCCAACACACACAGGCAGGCCCAGGCACACACGTGCACACACTCTGGAATTTCATGAGCAGTCATTGAGGCAGACATTCAGCTTGGCCATACTCTTCTGTTGAGACAGGAAGTAATCCAGTTTGCAACTTGGGATAATGTCTAATCTCTGTGAGGCTAAAAAGGACTAAAAATGGACTAAAAAGGTCAGTTCCTTCACTTCTGAGAAGCAGCAGATGGTGGGAGAAAGACGGACTCTATGAGGGGAGAGTCCCGGCCTGGGTGGGTGGTGATGGAGCTTCCCAGAGCCAGCTCTCCTTTGTGGAGCACTGGCTGGGCCTCTCCCTGGAACGGTCCCCTCACTCACAGTGAGGGCTGGGCTTTCATTGGGAAGCTGATGCTTGGAAAGTTGGAGAGATTTTTCTCTCTTTTTTTTTTTCTGAGACACAGTTTTGCTCTTGTTGCCCAGGCTGGAGTGCAGTGGCATGATCTCTGTTCACTGCAACCTCTGCCTCCTAGATTCAAGTGATTTTCCTGCTTCAGCCTCCCCAGTAGCTGGGATTACAGGCATGTGCCACTACGCTTAG